TGGGTGGATGGGGAAAAGTTGTTTCCCCATGTGGGAAAATTTAGGACCCGGGGAATAATCTTGGAATAAGGGATCGCACATTAAAGTCAGAGATGACAAGGAATTTCCTCTCTGAGTAGTGAATCTGTGGAATTCTTTACTTAGAAGCCTGTCGAGGTTGGGTCATTCAGTATATTTAAGGCTGAGAGAGATTTTTAATCGGTAAGGGAATCAAAGGTTACAGGGGAAAGAGAGGAAAGTTAAATTGAGGATTATCAGAGCAGCCAACATCTCATTGAATGGCAATGCAGACTCAATGGGCTCAATGGCTTACATCACTCATACGTCCTATGATCTTATTCTCAACTCTGTATACTGGGATTTGTGTCATCTCATGTGGAATCACTGGAAAATAAAATACCAAGCTCACTACTCTAATATTGTCCCTTTCACAATCTGTCTGTCCAGATACCAATAGAAAACTGATCCATGGTGATCCTGTTTTCGGACTTATCTAATGTTTCCAAAGGGTTCTCAGTGACCCATGACAGCACTTCTCTTTCTTAAATTTGTCTTGTATTTTCATTGGTTTGTTCTATGACATATGGATTATTCTTCTTGGCCTCACTGGAGTAATTTCTAACCTCCCAGATAAGTTTGTTGATAGTCTTGTATTGATGTTCCAATCATTCCATATGATCATTATTTGGTGACCTTTTACCTCAGAGTCCCGATTAATACCTTCACTAGTCTAAATGTCCTTCATTTTCCCCTTAAGGTTTTGTGTCTCTACCTCCAGAAAAGCTAAATCCAAACTATTCACTAATGAAGTATTCATATTAATTATTGAGGCTGCTTCATTGTTCCTCTTTGATTAATCTCCATTCTCTGCAGAAGTGTACAGTAGGACTGTTTCCAAACCATCATCCCAGACTCCAGAATAATAGCTTCATTCAGCATTTGTCCCAACAGTTACTCATACAGACTCCTTGTCCTTTTTACAGCTTCCTTTCTACCCTTAGCATGTCCTACCATCGATGGCATTTCAGCTTTCCCCTGCCTTTGACTTATTCTTATTCTTCACCATTCTTTCTTTCCTCTAGCCTGTGAGTGTGGTGGGTGTGGAAAGGATGTTTCCTTTTGTGGGTCAGTCCAGAACGAGAGGAACAAAAACAAAGTTGCTGGAAAATCTCAGCAGGTCTGGCAGCATCGGTGAAGGAAAAAACAGAGTTAACGTTTCGGGTCCGGTGACCATTCCTCAGAACAGAACTAGAGGACATTGTTTTAAAATTAGTGATTGTCTTTTGGGGCAGATGAGGAGACCTTTATTTCTCTGAGCATTATGCACAGAAAGTAATGGAGGCAGGGTCATTGAATATTCTTCAGGCGGATTTAAATAGATTTTCATGAGGCAAAGTTATCATGGATAGATGGGAAAGTAGAATTTGGCACACAAACAAATCAGCCATGATCATAACAAATTGGAGATTGGGCTTGAAGTGCCAAGTGACATGCTTTTGTTCCTAATTTACATGCCCATCACATTCATAGTCAACATGGTTTTATAAAAAGGACATGCTGTGTTTCTGAGACAGTAACTAGTAAAATAAATAAAGAGGAATCAGTAGTATACCTGGATTTCTAAAAGGTATTTGATAAGCTGCCACACAAAACGTTAATATACAAGTTAAAGACTCATGGAGTTGAGGTATGATTTATTAACATGGATAGAGGATTGTTTATTGGACAGGAAACACAGAGTGAACATAAATTAGGAACTTTTAAGTTTGAAGACTGTGACAAATGGAGTGCTGTAAATTTCAGTGCTGGGCCTCAGCTATTTACAGTCTGTATAAATGCCTTGGATGAAAAGGATGACAGGAGCCTACCTCAGTTTGTTAATTACATAAAACTAGGTGGAAAGGAAAGCTGTGGGACTAACCAGGCTGCAAAGAGATACAGTTTATGTGAATGGACAACAAGGTGGCAGATGGAGTGTAAATGTGGGGAAATATGAGTTTATTAAATTTGTTTTTAAGTATGGAAAAGCAGAACTTCTAAAATGTTTTCGAAATTTGTACAAGTTGATGTTCATAGACTTGGCTCATCCAAGGAATTTTGGAAAATGAGTTCGCTTTTACAGAGGGATTGCAGTCATTCACAGGCTACGCTGAATTTATTGTCCATCTGGAGTTGCTCTTGAGAAAGTGGCAGTGAGCTGCCTTCATATTGCCTATTCCTAATTGGCCAGAGAGCAGTTAGAGTCAACCTGGGCCAGACCGCAGTTAGAGTTAACCGGATTGCAGTGGGTTTGGAGATAGATGTAGGCCAGACCAGGTAAAGACAGCAAATTTCCTTCAATATGGAAACATTAATGAAACAGTTAGATTTTTACAACAATTGACAGTGGTTCAATGGTCACCATTTGATGAGCTTTTATATTCCAGTTTATATTTTTGAATTCAAATTTCATCACCATGGTGGCTCAGTGGTTAGCACTGCTGTCTCACATCACTAGGGACCTGGATTCCGTCCTCGTGTGACTGTCTGTGTGGAGTTTGCACACTCTACCCGGGTCTGCATGGGTTTCCTCTGGGTGCTCTGGTTTTCTGCCAGAGTTCAAAGAATGTGCAGGTCAGGTGGATTGGCCATGCTAAATTGCCATGTAGGCAGGTTAGCCATGGGAAATGCAGGGTTACAGGATGGATCTTGGGTGGGATGGTCTTCGGAGAGTCGGTGTGGACTTGATAGGCTGAATGGCCTGTTTCCACAATGTAGGTTTTCTATGATCTGTTGTGAAGAGATTTGAACCTATGTCCCAAGGAAAACTTCAAAGTCTGAAGTCACATGATGCCAGGTTATAGTCCAACAGGTTTATTTGATCTCACAAGCTTTCGGAGTGCAGCCCCCTCGTCAGGTCCAGTGAGAGAAAAGAGCACACAGACACAGAATTTATAGGCAGACAGATCAAGGGCTGAGAGATCAAAAGAACTGGTATGAGTGCAGTGTCAGCTAATAAGTCTCTGCAGGTGATCAAGAGTGTTAGATGGTGAGTAAAGCGTCAACAGCTGAATAAGCAGCGAAGGGATGACCTATAATCCGATTAAATGAAGCAGAGAGATAATTACAAAATAATTAAAAATAAGGTGGTACTGGAGACAACCAAATGACTGGAATAACATGATGGGTATAAGAGTTGTATGCTGAGGGTCTAACCAAAGTAATAAGTAATACAAAATTGTACAAACTAATTAAGGTAGAGAGATCATAACAATTGATCAAGGTGATGGTGTCAAAACAGGACAGTAAGGAAGATTTTACAGATACAGAACGGTGTGGCGGGGTCACATATAGTGCCATATGAAACCAAGATCACAGCTGAGGCCATCTTAATAGGTACGGAACTTGGCTATCTGTCTCTGCTCAGTGACTCTGTGTTGTTGTGTATCTCAAAGTCCAGCTTGGAGGACACTTACCCAAAGATCAGAGACCAAATGTCCTTGACCGTTGAAGTGTTCCCTCACTATGAGGGAACATACATGTCTGGCCATTGTTGCTCTGTATCCATTCATCCATTGTCGTAGTGTCTGCATGGTCTCACCAATATACCATGCCTTGGAGAATCCTTGCCTGCAGCATATGAGATAGACATCATTGGCCAAGTCACATGAGTATCTGCCGTGTACGGTGTGGGTGGTGTTCCCACGTGTGATGGTAGTTTCCGTGTCGATGATCTGACATGTCTTGCAGAGATTACCATGACAGGGTTGTATAGCATTGTGGTCAATGTTGTCCTGAAGGCTGGGTAGTTTGCTGTGAACAATGGTCTGCTTAAGGTTTGTTGGTTGTTTGAAGGCGAGAATTGGAGGTGTGGGGAAGATCTTGGCGAGATGCTCATCGCCATCGATAATATGTTGAAGGCTGCAAAGAACATGGCATAGTTTCTCTGCTCTGGGGATGTACTGGACGACGAATGGTACTCTATCAGTCCTATCCTGTGTCTGTCTTCTGAGGAGGTCATTGCGGTTTTTCGCTGTGGCACATCGGAATTAGTGATCGATGAGTTGAGCGTCTTATCCTGTTCTTATGAGGACATCCTTCAAAACCTTTAGGTGTCTGTTGCATTTCTCCTAATCTGAGCAGATCCTGCGTATGCACAGGGCCTGTCCATAGGAAATGGTTTCTGTCATATGTTTAGGGTGGAAGCTAGAGAAGTGCAGCATTGTGAGGTTATCCATGGGCTTGAGATAGAGGGAGGTACTGAGGTGTCCGTCCTTGATGGAGATGTGTGTGTCCAAGAATGAGATTGATTCTAAAGAGTAGCCCAAGGTAAGTCTGATGGTGGGATGGAACTTGTCGATGCTACTATGTCGTTGGTTCAGTGATTTCTCGCTATGAGTCCAAAGGAAGAAAATGTCGTCAATTTGTGTGGGGTATAGTGGTGGTTGGAGGTCCTGCACAGCAAAGAAGTCTTGCTCAAACTTGTGCATGAAAATGTTGGCATATTGTGGTACAAATGTGGTCCCCATGGCTGTTCTGTATGTTTGGATGTAGAACTGGTTGTCGAAGGTGAAGACATTGTGGTCAAGGATGAAGCAGATGAGTTGTAGGATGGTGTCTGGAAATTTGCAGTTGTTGGTATTGAGTACTGAGGCTGTTGCAACAATGCCGTCATCACGGAGGATGCTGGTGTTGAGTGCCAAAACGTCCATCGTGACAAGGAATGTTCCACATGAAGGAAAACTTATCCAGATTCCTAGTCCAGTGACTTTACCACTATGCACTACCTCCCCAAATTAAGTACCCTAAATTAGTGAGTGCATCCTGTCTCTATAGTTATCTCTTTTACAAGCTTAATTTCCTTCCTTGTTTTACCCCCTGGGTAGCCCTGTTTTTTGGTAAGCAGCTTGTGTCTTCTATTGTGAAGACAACATCAAATATTTGTTTCATGCCTCTGCTCTTTCTTTGTGAGAATAACTTGCTTCTCCCAGATTAAAGTTTTGTGAACTTTGTTTTTGCAGATGAGTTCGACTTTATCCCATTCCAGATATTAGCCTCTAACTATAAAAGTTATTCACTGGTCTACTCCTGTACTCAGCATTATATGTATCCCACAATCTATGCATGGATTTTGTCAAGACATGCGTATATGGAAGAAAGTACCATCGAGCAACTGGAAGATATTCTGAAAGATCATAAAATCAAACTTGATAAAATAGATACAATAGATCAACAGAATTGCCCTTAATAAAGAGGTGATCAAAAACCACACAAATCAACATCTTAATCTGTTATCAAAATGAATTGTTTATATGATTGCACATCACAAGTGAGTTAATGTAACTGGAATGACATATTATATGCTAAGGTTTTTTGTGTGGACTATGAATTGTGCAAATTTACTTTTACTAGAAATGAAAGTCATAATAGGCATCTCCAAGTTATTGTTAGTTGTCAATATTTGACCCCTTTAGAAGTAAGGTGACTATCAAAACATCTGTACTGATTTTAAGCTCTGATTCATATATCACTAGAATTTATTGAGCCAAATACACATGCAGTGGTAATTTTTCTCCAAATTACAAAGGGCTTGGCTGAGGTCATGTTATCAACTAGGTAGGCATAAACTGAGCACTGACATATTTAGTACTAATGTGCATGAAAATAATGAACCTGATGATTTAGACTGTACAAACCATCTCTTCTTTTGCCATTGTGACTTAACATGTCAAAAAAATGAATGGGCAACTTCTTACCCTCACACCCTGCTGTAATTCATGCATTCCACATTGCTTGCTTGTTTTAGAAACTACCTTCTAATGTATTAGGTATATTTTCCAGAGAGTAAAGTTACATGCCATCCCTACTCAGAAATAATATTAATTTTCATTTTCGAAGACAATCAGTAAGCCATCATAGCAGCCTTATATCCGGATGATAAGCTTAAAATGTAAACCACTGAGTTTTGAAATTAAAGTCACCAATTTTAACCATCTCATAAAGACTTTTTGATCTCATTATTCTTTGTGTTGTAGTTATTTTAAATGTTTATCCAGCCGCTGGGGTTAACTGTTTTATGTAAGGACTTAATGCAAGCTGCCCCATTTTGGTTTTTCTATTGCAGATGGTTTAGCAAAGTGCATTGTTGTTCAAACTTATATTATTCAATTTTCATGCATGCTACTATTTTGCTTCGTACACTGTGAAAATACAGAAAAGTTACAGTATAAGTTCTCATCTTGGCAATAAAAATACAAAGTCAAAGTGGCTATATTTATCATGTACTCCACTGTTTTCTTTTGAATAGATTTATGGATATTTTTGTATACTTTTAGCCCTTGTACAGTGGCAAATTTGGAAGTGAGAACACTTCATAGCTGACCACTTCTAACCAGTTTTTCTTAATTAACTGTTTTCATCTTGTGAAGTGATTAGCACTTTAGAATGTGCAATGTTCCTGAACCACAAGAAAACTAAGCTGGGGTTTACTTCACAATTAGGATTCATTTCCACTGACTGGTAAACATTTCCATCTTTACTATAAATAATGCCACAAGAGATGCACGAATGGTGTTAAAAATATGCCACACCTAACACACATCCCTTCTGTTGCAGTTGTGTCACATTTTGCATTTCTAAATTACATGTAGTTTGCAGAAAAATCTTATCTCCAATTATAAGTACGGGAACATCTACAAATAAAGCAGTAGAAACTGAATGCCGTAAGACACAAGAGCAGAGTTAGGCCAGTTGGTCCATAAAGTCTGCTTGATCATGGTTTATCTGTTTTTCAACTCCATTCTCCTGTCTTCTCCCTGAAAGACTTGATCCCCTTATTATCAAGAACCTATCTATCTCTGTCTTAAATACACTCAATAACTTGGCCTCCACAGCCCCCTATGGCAATGAGGTCCACAGAGTCACCACCCTCTGGCTGAAGAAATTCCTCCTTATCTCAGTTTGAAAGGGTTGTCCCTTCAATCTGAGGCTCTATCCTTAGGTCCCAGTCTCTCCTGATAGTCAAAACATCTTCTCCACATCCATTCTATACAGGCCTGTCAGTATTCTGTAGCATTCAATGAGATCCCCCTCATCCTTCTGAACTCCATCGAGTACAGACCCAGAGTCCTCAACCACCCCTTATAAGACAAGCCCTTCATCCCTTTGTAAACCTCCTCTGGACCATCCCTAATGCCAGTGCATCTTTCCTTTTGTGAACAAAACTGCTCACAGCATTCTAAGTGTAGTCTGAACAGAGCCTTTCCAGCCTCAGCAGTAATCTGTACTCTTGTATTCTAACCCTCTTGAAATGAATGCCAACATTGCATTTGCCTTCCTGACCGCCATATGAACCTGCATAACATTAAAGGAATCTGAACCAAGACTCCCAAGTCCCTTTGTGCTTCAGATTTCTGGCACTTTTTTCCCATTTAGAAACTAGTGTACACCTCTATTCTTCCTACCAAAATGCATAACCTCACACTTTCCAACATTGTCCTCCATCTGCCATGAAATGCATGAAATACTTCACATATAGAAAACGAAAACAAAAGGTTGTAAATACTTAAAAGGTGTGGTATCATCTGTGGAGAAAGTGTTTAAGTTTGATGATCTATTATGCAATAGTTTGCATGAATGTCTGCTGACTCTGCCTAGTAACTGACAAGCCTTAAACCAGACTGTTCACACCTTTGGTGTCAAATTTAACCACAGTCTATACTTGTCACAAAGAATATCTATTTCCTTCCCTGTAACATCATCTGATTCTCTTTCTCAGCTCATCTGTTGAAACCCTCTTTCAAGCCATTGTTACATCTAGACTTGACTATTATAGCACACTCCAAGATTGCCTCCTATATCTTACATCCTACTGTCCATAAACCTGAGCTCATCTAAGCATCTGCTGTCTGTCTTTACTTATCCATCATCCCTGTGCTTGTCGATCTGTACTGACTCTCCAAATAAGCAATATTTCAACTTTAAAACTCTCATCTTTGATTTAAAATGCCCTGATGGCCTTACCCTTCCAATTTGATTTCCCACTTCAACCCTAGATGCTTCAAGCCATCTATGTTCTAATTTCAGATTCTTGTGAACTGTAGGCTTTTATTCCCACTTTCTTTGGACTGTTGGCTTTACACTGGGTATCACTAACCCAAAGCAATTCTAACAACAGAATATACCCAATGTTCTTTATTAAAGCAATGTACACTACAAAAAATCCCTGCAAAAATCTTACCCATACATTACTTACAATCACAAATGAACCTAGTTAGATAGACTTGGCAGGGATCAGACCAGATCAGCCTTCTCCATCTAATTTCCAGGCACTGATCAGATGGCCCTTCCTGAGCTAACTAACTGTGCTCTAAGGCAAGCTCTCTATGTATCCTTTTTTTCATACAAAGAAGCTATGCATTTCAACTTTTACACTGCCCTGTCTCTAGCACATGATCAGTTTGACCACCAAACATTACAAAGATGTCACCTACAATGGTTAGTTTAGTTAATTGTTCATTAAGACTTGCTTGATTCTCCCTGGAAAGGGGCTTTTCTCTTAATTTTAACAAACTTTGATCTTAGCTTTAGCTTTCAGACCTTTAAATCATCCAATTAATAATATGATATTTACACAGCATAATTCTACCTGATGATACAAGTTGTTAACTGATAAATGGCCCATTGCTGTCTACAGAACTTCAGCTTTTCCAGAGTTGCTGTGACAGTTCAGTTCATTACCAATGAGTTGTAACATTCAATATAAACACATGCAGGAAACACATTAAAACCTGCGATCTTTCTAACCATAAGGTAATCAACAGACTTCATGTTTCTTATCCTCATTTTATTTCATTTCATTTCATTTTGTCTAACCCAGCATAATTAAGTTAATATCTATAGCATTCCTAATGTAAAGTGCTCCACCATGCCTTATGCTGCCCAGGCCTAATGACTAGAATTCTTTTTATAAGTTTCTCAACCTCTTTTCTCCTTTGAGAGCACTCTCAAAGCTTTTACCTTCTGCCTGATGTTGTCTTGTGTCTAGGTTTCAAATGTTTTTGATGTTCTTGTGAATTGCTTTGAGATAGTTTATTATATAAAAGTGGCTGCATAAATGCAAGTTGTCATTATTCTACTAAGTACAAGACAGAAGTCAATAGAGTAACGAAATGCTTTCCATTTACCTAGGTTGGTGTAGCTCTTAGATCAATCAAGGAGCTCAACACTAACCAGGAACAAATCAATCTGTTTAAAACAGCATGCCATCCACCACATCAAATTCCCTCCAATATTGGCACAACATGGTTAAGTAAATATTATCTTTATGAGAAACTGCTGCAGCTTTTTGACAGCACCTCCCAAACCCATATCCTCTGTCAACAAGAAGAACAAGGACAGCAGATGAATGGGAACACCACATATCTCCCAGTTATTCCTCATGTTGGTTACAATTAGGTGAGAAGGAGATGCATGACTCCCTTCTTCCTCCCACCTATCCCCTCCTTCCACCTCAAGCCCCACCCCCATCTCCTACCTACTAACCTCATCCCACCCCCTTGACCTGTCCGTCCTCCCTGGACTGACCTATCCCCTCCCTAACTCCCCACCTACACTCACCTTTACTGGCTCCATCCCTGCCTCTTCGACCTGTTTGTTTCCTCTCCACCTATCCTCTCCTCTATCCATCTTCTATCTGCCTCCCACTCTCTCCCTATTTATTTCAGAACCCCCTTCCCCTCCCCCTTTTCTGATGAAGGGTCTAGGCCCGAAACGTCAGCCTTTCTGCTCCTATGATGCTGCTTGGCCTGCTGTGTTCATCCAGCCCTGTACCTTGTTGTCTCGGATTCTCCAGCATCTGCAGTTCCTACTATCTCCCTTCTTTTCCCACTTGTTTTTGGCTGTGGAGGATTTTCTTTAAATAAATAGATATGCTTGCCAATTCCATGAGTGTTTAACTGTTCACATGTTATGACATCAAAAGATATGATTCTTGAGTTTATAGCAAGTGGATCATTTAATTGTGTTTAACTTATTATAAGTGGAATAATAAATTTTCTCAGACTTTCACACTCAGACTGATACACACACACACACACACACACACACACACACAGATTCGGAAGGATAGATTAAGTAATTTAGAGTCCAGTGAAATTAATCTGGCTCTGGAAGGTTGGTGACTTGACTAAATCAGCTTCAGTCTGAACTTGATGGGCCTGCTGCTTTAACTCAGTGTTTCTGCTACTC